AATCGTAATTGGAATTTCTAAAACGTTCCATTAATTTTTCGTTGAAGAATCGATCGAGAGATTTCGAATATATGAGTTATCTGAGATATCGATATCTGCAAGTTTTAATAAATTAGAGAACTTTATATGAATTTTATATCCGTGCATGATAATTATTTTAAATTAGATAATAATATATGTTTGTTACCGGCTGTCCAATAAACTGAACGAACCCTTGAAAACTTTCGATCGAATCGTCTCTCCTTTTTTATATATATTTCCCTCTACATTCTATCTTTTTTATATTTTTCCAAATACAGCTTGAAAAAAAATGTGCATCTAAGAAGCGTGAAAAATTAATTTTTTCATTTTTCCTAAAAGATATTGAAAAAGTGTTTTAAATCATACTTCTATTAAATATATGATATTTGGAAGAAATTATTAAGATCTGAAGCTATTGATTAAGGATTAATTAAGCTATTAATTATGTATGTGAAGATATGACATTGCATATGTGCATTACCAATGTAATAATAATATCTAATAATTTTATTATATAAGGAAGAAGATTTTATCCGCGTGTAATAACGTTCGATTCAATTCTCCCTGTTAATATTAATTAATGATCACTACATTGCCGAAATTAGACGAGGCGAGTTAATATTAAAGCCGTTTAATTCAATATACGTTTCCGGTGTACTGCTTCAGCGAAATGATCATCCTTAATTGAATTCGCTGTTCAAACATTGATTAAAAGTATTATCATTATCATCGAGGTATTTCGTTTGGCAATATAATACCAAAATTATCATTGTTACTTTCGACTCCATTCGTTTCATAATCGTTTTATCGGCTCGTAAAGTCCGTGCTCTTTAAAATTGCATGCAAGCGATATTGAAAAGTCACACGTTTCGTCTGTTATCCGATTTTAAAATTAGATTGATAATAACCAGAATGTTGCTTTAAATATTTGGAAAATTGGGTGAAAAATACATCTATTATTCTGTGTTAACACAAAGAATCTTTGGCTTCGAATTATTTCGATATTTATTATTAATCACAGACTTGAAACGCGTTAGTATAAACGAAGATCACTTTCTATATTTTACAGGAGAACAACCGTAAAATTCGATACGCTGTTAACTAGCATCATTGTTTTTTATTTGTTGCACATTTTTAACGATTAAGTATATGCTTTTTTATTCACCTATCGCTGAATATTATCAAAATATTGGTTGCCACGACATTCGTATTCCATTGGTATCGTACAAAACTTCTTGGGTTTACTGCCCGTTTTAAAAGGGTAAAACATTTTTGCACATAACAGGCCATTCATCTTTCCCACAAATTGCAAGTCATATAAATCCATTAAAGACGAAACAATGAAGTAACAGATAAAAATGTAACATTACTAAGAGACGGAATAACTGAAATCGCGAACTCGACGAATCTAAACATCGTCCCAAATCGTGTCATATGTCTTTCCAGACGTTGTACAGATAAAACCGGAAGCATAACCAAATAAAGAATTTCCACGATTATAGATTCGTTAATTGGAACATTACAAATAAAAAATACTCGAACGTTCTACCAAGTGTCATCATGAATATGCAAGTTCTATCAGGAAGTTCTTGCCTTCCTTAGAAACTTCGTTCTGAAAATCGTCTCGTTTTACCTCTTCCTTCCTATCCCCAAACCTTACGGTACCCGCATTCGAAGCTGTCAAGTGCTAGAGGGTCGACGACCCACTGTCTGACGTTCATCGGTTCTCTTATTAAAGTTATGCTTTTCGAAATTTCTTGCCGCGAAATCGTCGTCCTGGACAGGATTTGCCAGGAAGTTGGTCAGCTTTTCGGCCTGTCTCGTCCAATTCAATTAACTCGTTCGGTACGAAAGCAAGTTTTGCAGCCCCGTAAAACGTTTTGACACTTGAAACTCCCCTGGCCTGCTTGTAGTTCGAACATGTATTTTGGCTATTTCTGGGGATACCAAAAGAAGTAGACGGATGTTTTTCAAAGCTCGATATATCGTAGAATATCACAGTGTATCCTAGAATTTCATGCGTTTCGAGGATTCTCTATCAGTTTTTCATGATTAGAATTTTCGTGATATTTCTTTCGATATTTTTTTTACAGAAAAATATTGAATTTCCGTGAAGTTTAGAGTCCCATCACTTCGGCGAATGTTCGTCGCTGGATACACATTCGATGTTTTTACAACCGTCAATAATAGAGGAATCAATTATTTATATCGTTGAATTCTCGCAGATGAGATGGATGAAGTTTTAGATGTACAGTTTTGTCGAAGATACGTAATATTAATCAAAATATGACGTATCAAACTTGCTATATCTCGATCACGGTAAAGTGATGTTGGTTACAATTGTACGAAAGAATCTTCGAGTGCTCGTTATCAACAACTTTTTGGTCCATCTTTCTTAATGTTTCGACATTTTAAATATTTGTATCAACGACACGTTGTCTGTTCTCCCAACTTGGTTCACATAACTTTTCAGAAAGTCGTATTTAATGGCAAATTACCATAAGAACGTGTGACGTCTACTAGACGAGATTCCAAAAGCTGAAGAATAACCGTGATGCAACTGATACAGTTGGTGCAGTGAGGCTAGTGGTTTTGAGAAGACAACATTTTCGGAACTGTACGAGTCTTATCGTTAGTGTTGAGCGATTGAAGGCAGACCACAGTTATCGTTGCGCTTCTCAAAAGACAGACAATGGTCGGAGGCGGCCTTTTTGCCGCTCTATGGTAATTTCAGGATGGATAGAACGCGCTGCGAGAGACAGACCAACCTCTGCGATATCGGAAACTGCACGCCGCTTGGAAATATTTTGCCAGGGATTATTTACATTTCAAACTAGAGGGGCCGGCTCCGATGGGAAATAATCCTTTTTTTTTTTGTTTTTGTTTTTTTTTCATCTTTTTATCGTTCGTCAGGCCACGAGATGAAGGATTGCGGAGGTATTTCATTGAGATTTGATCGCGATGCACGTGCGCCTACGACGAGTCGATGGAAACTTGTAGGTTTTGTTCCATGTACACGTCTGTTCGTGACTATCAGAACATCTAGAGAAAAACGAGGTAAACCTGACAAATTATTAAACCTCGTTTGAAATATTAGCCTGTAAAGGTCCCGTACGTGTCTTTTACAGCAGAACAATTTAAAAATCCATTTTACCCATCAACTTTATATTACGGCAATTTCTCTCGTTTTATTTGATCGTAGAATTAATCGTGTGTATTTTGAAAGGAAATTGGACAATCAACAAAAATGGATTTCTCGCACGAAATTCTTCGTGCGAAATCCTGATTAATGTAGGATGTTCGATTCGAAAATAGGAGATCAAAGAAAATTGCGATTGTGGTTCCACAATAATCAACGATTGATAAACTATGACGTTTTGTGCAAGGACAACAGGAATCCTGATACTTATGAATAGGTTTGTATCGTGCATGAACGTTTTATCTCGTTTCCTCGCGAGATTTTCGAAGAAGAATTTTCCTTCGGTAAAGAAACTTCCTTCTACTTACCTTTTACTTTTTTTCTTATATTTTGTTTAGTTTGAACATGCCGTAATTGCAACGGAATTAATCATACATGATTTACTCGCGGAGATTTTTTCTTTTTCGTGAGCCGCACAAATTTACCTAAGTGAAACTCGAGTAAATCTAAATTTACGAAAGCGAAGCGAAACTCATTAGAACTCCTCCTAAACTTGCCTCCCATTAACCCCACGATTACCAAGATGAAACACACGACATATATTTACTAAAATAGTCTCGAATCTTTCTTAATTAGAGAACAGATAACGAACCAACCGAATACTTCGATTGTAACCACACACGAATATATTTTCAGCAAATATTTCATAGAAATACGCGGGGTATTGTAAGGACAATAGAAACTGATCAAATTCTGACAAGACATATGTACATTTACGTTATAAGCAGTTGAGAAATATTTGTAAAAATGTATAAAAAAATTCTTAACATTTTCTGGTTGCTTTTTTAAAATAACAGCCCGTTTTAAAGCAAATTAATCATTCGGTAATTAATCATACAGCATAATATTATCGAGATCAAAATAAACAGCACGTATTTCACGCGAATTGTGAAAACAAAATGCTTCTGCATACTTGTGAGCGATGTAGAATGAAGTAAAAACTAAAAAGAGAAATGAAAGCAATTGTCGAGAATCCGGAAGAAGGCATAATTTTGCGACATATTCACTGATAAATCGGCCAGTAAAATAGCAGATAATCGTTAAAATGGGGAAGGTACCGTGGCATGGGGGTTGCAACCCTCGAGTGGTCAGAAAATTGGCACGCATCGCTCGTTTAACCATGAAAATTAAAGATTTCCAGGCACGATAACATCGTATCCCGATCGCTCGGCTAAAGGGCAATTGCCGGGCGCGTAAGTCGACCGAAGAGATTTCAGATATTCGCGTGGGATATCCCTTAACGACGGCCATTATAGGATCGTTAGAAAATTATCTATTAAGCGTCAACGAGAAGAAAGTTGCAGCGTTTTCATCAACCAATTACGAACGATGAATCTCAATTTCCTGACCGGCGATTTTATAGGTGTATTAGGTGTTAAGTATTCGACCTGGAGGGTCTCCATAAAATTGTTACGGGCTTTTCGTCAGAGTTCCGCTGAGAGTTGAATTTTTGCCGATCGTAAAATTGCGGTCACCAAAGTCGATCGCCATTCCGTAATCTCCGCTTCTCGTTATTTTTATGGAATTTCTATCCTGGATTATTCTAGTTCAGAATTTTTATACCTTCTTCGTGACGTTCAGCAATTTCGGTTTTCTAATCGAGTATGTAATTGACACGCTTTACAGGATTATTGCTCGAGCTCGTAGATGTCGGGCAAATTATTCCAAACTTATAGTTTATTAAAACGTCGTTCACTATTCTTTATATTTAGTCAACGAATCAACAGGAATGTCAAAATCGGACAACTTTCTAAAAATGTAGAACGAAACTGTCACTCACCGCTCAGGTAGAATTGGCTGCTGCTGTTGTATAAATTCGTCACGATTGGCTTGATATTATCGAAGGTCAAGGTCTTCAGCGAATTATCCCTCAAGTCCAGCACGTACACTCCCGGTGCACCGGCCAGGAAATCCGGTTCCAGGGTGACCAACTTGTTTTCACTGAGCTTCAACTTCTTCAAATTCCTCATTCCGTCCAACGCCTTCTCCGAAATATACTCAATCTCATTCTGATCGAGGTCCAGCTGTCTTAACGAGGGCATCTCGATGAAAGTTCTATCGCCAATCATGGCGATCAAATTGTTACGCATGTCGAGCTTCAGCAGACTTCTCAAACCGTGGAAACTATCCGCGGTGATGACTTTGATCTGATTGTCGACCAGCTGCAGTTCTTCCAAAGTAGTCAGATGCTTGAACGCCTTGTCGTGCAACGTGCTGATGTTGTTCCCGTTCAGGGAGAGTATCTTTAGCGATGGTAGATTGACGAACGTGTCTCTGGAAATTGAACGAGCAGAATTAACAACTTCCTAAAATAATCAATCCAAAACGTCCTAAATAATCAATTCGTTTCTATGCAAATTACCCGAACGGGTAATTTCAACATTTTGACTGGGACTGGAATGAAGCAGTCATCGTATCGCTAGGCTTAAACGAAGATGGCAAGACGAGCTGCGAGAATGATGGAAGAGACAGAGTTTCCAGGAAAAAGTTGCACGAGGAGGATGCTTTATGACCGTGTTAATGGCGCCGCGCAACACGAATGACATACTTGGTGTATCGAATCGATGTCGGAGCTTCGACGTTGATAGGGACGCGCTCCTTAAGGAGCAGTTGTTTTGTTTCAAGAAGGATGAGGTTGCTGACTTTTGACGGTTGTGTTTTGAAGTTGCTGCTGTGGTTCGGTTCGAATGATTTCGAGTTGTCTTTTTGCGAGGAACTCGGAACTTTTGGAAAAAGATGACGCGTGATTCGCATTGGATTAAACGCAGTAAATACGTAGTGTTACGTAGAGTAAAAAATGGAATTGGATATGTTTATATTTCAATGTTTAATATTTTTTATTTTTAACTATATGGCAATTCGGAGAATCGATGTGATAGAAGTGCCAAGGGAAATAACAGGAGAAAGAATTCTGTAAAATAGTAGGGCAAGTGGTAGAGGAGATACAATAGCGAATACTGTTCCAGATACTGGATAGAATAAAGCAGAAAGCATTTTTCAAAGCTTATAAGTTTCAGAAAGAATATTACACGGAAGAATAATCTATTTCTTGAAATAACGACTTCAGAATAGTGATTGTATTTATTCATAAATAAGGTATATGAATCATGAAGTATGTTCATCATTATTTACATCATAAAGTATGTTCTTACGAAGTTTCATAGATAGATAAAAGAAGTGAATCACGTTGAAATTTTGTACGGACACGTCGCGATTTTTAAAATATTTGTCAATAAGAACTACGAGGCTTTTTATAGAAATATATAAATTGTATCTTTAACGGGAGTGATATTGAACGTAAAGAAAGAATATACGTAATGCTCCTACAGGAATATAAATCTATTACTACAGCTATTCGGTCCATATCTTTCCTTGAAGCAGCCGTAAAGTCACGAATGCTTCGTGTATCGGCACATAAAACGCGATCCTCATTATTAAGCATCTCGTAAACTATTACGTATAGAACCAACTCGATACGGGTCAAACGTCTCCATTCTACAAAATTCGCTCGATAAATATACAGTAAAATCGTAGAAATTTTTCAGTCGTTCCTTCAAAAATAAAAATATAATCACATAGTAATTTCCAATTCCTATCTTGCCTCACATCGATCCTGAGAAAATTTAAAACGTACAGATTATTTACTTCTACGCTTTTCATCAGCCTATAACATTCAAGTAGATTTACATAAATTTGTCGCTCCCCTTTATATATAAAAATACGATCACTAATTTATCTCAGGCCAATCTTAAGAAGGCTGAAAAGTAATCTGAAATCAATTTAAAACACGTCACTCGCCGCGAGATAAAAAATCAATCAACCTAAGTACTTCTAAAACACTCTCGAAACACTTCCAACGATTAATCCTACCCTTCGATCAATTAAACCCGCATATTCTCCGCTTCGGCACCTTTCAACCCTTCGGAATATTCTCGAGAAATCTACACAGAGGCAGGATACTCCCCCATCGAGCAATCTTTTGTCGTCTATCCGCGTTTACCCTAAGCGACCGCGTTTAGACGAAAGTCGAGCGATCGAGATTCCCCGCCTTATTGTCCGCGTTTCTATCGCGTGACTGCATTCATATCGAGCGTCAACGATTATTTATGATGTTACAGGGCGCGGCGCGATGCAGAGATTGCGAGTACTCGCGCGATCACGCGCGCGACACCCTCAGACTTTTCGTCGATAACGAGCCGCCAGTTGCAACTTTCGACGCCTGATAATGCGTTCGGTATGCACCCCAAGTCGCGTTTTGCACGCCAGATAGGAAATCATAATGCATATACCGTTACGAATGCTGGCAACGTTGTTCGCTTTCTAGATTTCTCATTCGTTTAATCAGAATCTTGAAAGTACGACAAGTATGACAATATATGGACTTTGAACATCGAATTAAGACTACGCTTGTTTAATTACAGCGTGTATACGCGCAAACTTTATCAGATAAATGGAAAATCGTCGTTGGTTGTCCAAACATTACAATTTCATTTATTCAAATAATTATTTAGAATGTAATTAAAAAGCATACTTTTTCCAATTACAGTACGTTCTGTACACACACACACACACATACGATGTATCACGTAAATTGTCGTTGGTTGTTCGAATATAGCGATTTAATTAATTGAACTAGTAATTACTGTAATTTGTTATATCGTAAAATATGTTCGAAAGATTCGATTACTTTGACAATAAAGTTAGGTTGGTAGATTTGAGTAGAATCTGTTTCTAGCGTATTACCCGGTACGTACAAACAGAATTTTGTTTTGCTTTCACATCAGTCATATTTGCGTTCCATTAATTTCATCGGCGAGCTAAACTTGGATTGTTTGATTCAATTGTTTATTAACGACTTCGATAAGTTTGCTCTGATCGCGTTAATGTGGCTGGTACACACGAATGGAGCTGTGTTAACCGGTTAACCGGTTAACTGTGTTTTATCGATTAACTCTTAATTGCCAGGTGCACTTTATAAACTCTGTTCACTTTGTCGTGTAAATGTAATTGATCAATTCGCGTAGTACACATTGCTCGACTTAATCTCTGTTATTAACTTGTCATTAAGTTATTTCATTAAAAACAACTTTAACTTTAGTCGAAAGCTACGAGTATCGCGAGTACAATTTTTATCTTGTGCTTACACACAAACAAGAGAAAATGCAGTGAAGAAGACTGAAGCGTGTAAGTGACACAGGTCAAGGTTTAGTCAGACATTGTGTTCCTATATTCTAATAAATATTCTATTTGAAGCTTTGTTCATGAACTAATCACATGTATTTTATTTTATCAATTTATATCATTTCAAATAATACCTAGTATAATTTGTTCAAATTTATCAAAGAATATATTGCCTGCTAATATCTATGCTAATATCTGCTATATTATCTTTCATAACTTAATGTATTTAATTAATGGACACTGAAAATACCTCTAGCGTGGAATTACGCGTTCTATGTTATAAAATATATCGTATAAAATTTATCTATAAATTAAACGAACAAAAAGTAAAAGAAGACGAAACACATATTTAATGACTCGTTCTTTGTCACTTTTAATGTATCGTTGTGGAATTAAATACTTCATAATTCTTCGTCGCTTCCATCATTCTTTAACATTTTATCATACAGCCCCCAAGGGATCAACAAGATAATAATTTAATCCAACAAACTATCACAATCTTCTATCCGTTCACGACAATCAACTATTTTGCTCGGTTACTCATTTTTACCCCATCAATTACCACGGGAAAGACAGACTATTACAGATGTACATGTATCGCTTTGCTCCATCTTTGTAAAGCATTTTGATAGAAAGAAAATATTAGATTATAATTAGATTATGAATACTCTATAAAAATATTTGAAAAATAAAGCAAAGACTTTGTACGAATGAATAAATTGTCGCATATATGAAAGACGTAAGTAACGATGAAAATTACATTAAAAATTGATGAACAGAATATTCCTTAGGACAAGAACTCAGGCTAGTGGAGTATTTCGATCGACCCAGTAACGAACACCTAACGAATCTCTCGAAAATAAAGTTTCATAACTTTACTAATGAATAACTAATCAAATTATTCTTAAATCTTTCTGAACGCACATTTAATCATGTACATGATGTACATTTAATCACAGGTTATATGTAGTCAGTAATGGCCTAATCGACAATTAATGAAGCGAACACATCGCGTACTGCGTATTTCGAGACATTCTAACGCGAGGAGTCGATTCGATTTGCTAGAGGAGTTCTCTGATTCTCCGAAACGCGAATTCTCCGCGCATCGCGAAATTCCACGACAATTTATGCAGTCGGCTCGTAAAACGCTCCCTTCGAGGAAGACATTTTCACTTTACTCGAGCTCAGACTCCGTAATAGAGCGTAATTGAACGAATCAGCCGGAATTACAAAGGGTGAGGAAAGGGGATATTCGAACATCATCGAACGACGTTTATGTGTGGTAAATTGCAACCAGCGATTCTTGTTTAACCAATTCAGGTAACTGTTTAACTAACAGCGGAGCAACCTCGAATTATTAAAGTTATTTCAATTATAGTAACTTTTACTATTTATCACAAAAATATTTTTGCCAATGTGAACTTTGATAATCGTCTAAGCCGGAATTATTGAAATTATTTCTTATTAAGTAATATTTGAGTACTATAGGTTATCGGTAGACTCTGAATTCTTATGCATTTATGGAAGATTCAAAGGGGATTTAGATAGAAAAATGCAGAGAATAATGCCGCTGATATGCAAAAATATATAAAATATCCAAAGTATAGTATCTCTTGTAATATTTTGTAAGCGAAACAGATGCTTGTCTAGTGTCTACTATTTCAGTTGTATTCGTAAAGATATGAATTGCAAGATAAAGTAGTCTAATTGTCGGTGCTTTCTCGAATAAAAAAAAGCTGATCTCGAATTACTAAGAATTACTACGAATTACTAGCCATTTATCTACGATAACTTGGATCATTTATCAAAGATATTTTCTCAAATATAAAACTATAAAAATTGTTTCTCAATGACCGTCATTCTAAAAAAATTCTAAAAAAAAGAAGGAATTTAAAACAGAGCTTAACAAAATAAAGAACGATCCTACCTATTGATCTCGGTGATCCGGTTCGAGTTCAAAAAGATCGCCGTTAGATTCTTCAAGTTCTCAAACGCGTGCGTCCTCAGCGTCGAAATGGAATTCGTGCTCAAATCGATTTCTGTGATCGTAGGAAGGTTCGAGAACGCGGATTCCTTCAGCTCCTCGATGCTGGCATCTTGGAACGTGATCTTCTGCAAGTTCTTCAGCTGTCTCAGCAGTTGAACCGGTATGTATTCCAATCCGTTTGGCGTTCGAACCACGAACTTTAGCTTCTGTAAGTAGATCTGCGAGGTGAAGTAATTCCACGTTGGATCGTTAATGCTGAACGGGCTCAACACGACGCAAGTGGCTTCCGTGGCGTTTCTAATGGTATTGTTATCGCAGTAACAGTACATAGGAGCCTGTATGCCTTCGATCGCGCAGATGTTCACTTCTTTCGTCTCTTTGGCGACCTTCTTCTTGCCCCGTGATCTCGTCGAGGCTGACAGGCTCGAAGGAAACATCGAGGTCAGAAACAGCAGCTGAAGAAAGATCCAGGATAATTGTTTCATCTTGATCGTCGATTTACAACGAATCTGCAAGCAGAGGAGTTACGTGTTGGAAATTGTTTCTGGTTATGATCGATCAATTACGTATGGGTTATCGATAGAGATACGAAGGTTGTGCCGCTGGCATATTAGCGATAATAGAATTATTAAGCGCTGATGAAATATACAGCGGAAGATACATGGGATGCTTTGTGTTGTCGTTGGACACGGTACACATCGCGCTTTCGGATTAATTACTGCGGATATCGGCGATTGGATTCTGTAAATGGAACGGCGTAAAATGTAGATTCTAGAAATTTGATAGTGCGATTAATCGATTATTGTATTGTAATAGAGTAATCTATGATTGGATCGTTCGTCGGTACGATTTTTATAACAACGACGAACTGCAATTTCGATCAAATTCGGAAACTTTGTGAATGGAAAAAAAAGTATGTAACTTTCTGCGGCTCGTTTTATCATTGTTGTACGTTTATTATATTATCCTTTTAGTAACCATCTATCATAAAATTATCGAATCACCAAAAGCCTCCACGTAAATTTCTTCCATTCTCGTATGACGATTCATCCTATTCCTTCGTACCTTCCTCGAACTACGCGTTATCGCTTTAACAGTGAACGCGATCATGCTTCATCGGCCCAGAAAGATCTAGTCGAGAGCCAACGAAACAAAGGCGGAATAGGTTAGGACCGTAGAAAGTGGAAAGAAAAAAGTACAGAAAGGTGGAAGAAGGCTGGGCGCTCGGGGGTGTAAAGGCCGTGAAAAAGGTAAACGAAGGGGAACAGGAAGAGGGAAAGGAAGGCGAGTTCACGGCCGTGTGGACATGTGTGAGAGAACCTTTCACTTGTCGACGCCACGCTTTTTTCTTTCCACTTTCTCCATCGCAAAACGAAGACGACCCAAAAAGGACAGCGGCTCGCGAGAAACTCTTTGAAAAATTATCATTCCGAGCGGAACGCTCGCATAATACCGCGTTTCGTTTGTCTTTATTTTTCAAACTGGCGTCCGTCGACGTCCGGCGTCGCCTCGGCTCGCAAGCCGCTCCCGCGTGGGTGTATTCTCGCGGTCATCTTCGCTTCACGAGCGTGAAAAATGCTCGCAAGTTCTTTTTCCGTGTCTGGACTCTGTCTTCTGTCTCATCCTTTGACCACCACGTGTTCTTGTTCTGTACAGGATGTTTCAAAGTGGCGGCATCAAACCGATGGATATACACCGTGCTTCTTATTAGGTTGTCCAAAAAGTTGCTTACGTTTTGCAAGGAAATAATAGACGCACAATGTTGTTTCTTTTATATTAGTTTATTGAATTATACGCGAACGTAATAATAGAAATATAACGAAATGGACCATAGCTAATTCAATAAAATAATATAAAACGGAAATTGCTGTTCGTCTATTTGCGCCTTATGAAACGAAAGAAACTTTTCGACACGACATGAATATCTTCAAACACGAATATTGGCAAATGAAATTATCAAAGCACTTTGATCCACGAGTGATCGAGTCTTTGGGTAATCTAATAATAAGTATCTTGATCGACGAATAATCGAGTAAATATAGCCACGTGTTTTAATATACAAACGTTTGAAAATTCATTCTAGTCATTTATTTGCTAGTTTCAAGCTCTAGTTCCTCTTTTTGATCAAACGATGCATCCTAACAGAGAAATAAAAAAGCGTATAATAATGGAAAAATAATAAACTCTGCCCGTTTTTCAGACCAGCAGGAAATTTGTTGGCTCGTAAGGTGTATCGAATATATCGCCTGGGTCAAGCACGGTCGACTTACTGCATCGCGTTTTTATCCACGCCCGTTTTTTTTTTTATTATTCCCGCGACAACGCGGAAAGGGGCGAAGCTCCCACTTGCTCAGCCTCTGTTTGCACCCATCTATTTTATAATTGAAAATTCACGTTGAATACCTGTGGCTCGGTCGCATCCCGCGTGGCGCGAAAATAAAAACATTAACCGCTATGTCGCCATACGTTACACAAGACGGTCCATTAAACAGAATCGTTAAGCCGAGTCTGGTCTCTTTTTCCCAACTGAGTTTGCGTGCACGAAAAAAGGCGACGCTGTTGCACGTTTCCGTCCTCGCGATTACCATTTTACACAGCGTATAAATAATAACGCGTTTAAAAACGCTGCTTCGCGTACAACGAACGATCTCTGCGTTTCATTTCAACCCTTGCATTATGCTTTTTATAGTGTGCCAACCGGCTAACTGGACACGTGGCGCACGTTCAAAGCGTTTATGCCAACCAACTATTCATAAACGTCTGAGGATTCAGAGAATACGTATTTTCGTGTCGTGGCTCGCTGTAGGGAAAGGAATAAATCAGCTGGATGAAAATCGAGCGATCACGAAACCTGTACGGGACCTTTAATTTTTGATCGTGCAATCAACCACCGGCTATCGATTTCACGCACACGCTCGTTCTTGCGAGTACTCCAATTAACACGCGACGCACCAACAATACGGTAGATGGTCGGTTTTTGATTGAACGCTCGAGTTTCCCGAATTAAGCTCGATTCAAACTCGGTACGGTCAAATCGCATCAAGACAGACATCGGTCAAGAGATTTTCATTTGGATCGACCGAATTGCTTACTACGAATGCTCTCACTGGATCACGCGTAAGCGATTTTTGTGTATAAGATTTCTAGATGAATTTAGCTCCGGAATACTATAATCAGGTACTGTGGTTGAAGCTCGATGGTTGTAGGTAATCTGCAGATATTATTTTCAAAATACTGAACCGAATTTCACCAAGATATTATAACGAGTATACCGTATTTTGGATGTTTTCTACATTTTTGCAAATTATATGCATTCTATGTATTTCGTAGCTTTAAATTTCCCATACACGTATAACAATCCGCAGTCCATTCAAAAATAACGTGTCTGGTAAGCATTCTCATAACATATCGTTTATGTAACCTGTTATTTTTATCTTTCCTACTTACATAAGATATTGTACACGTATATCGTATCGTATTTTTATTCGCGTGTAAAATTCTCCTCGAACTTCAATTTTCTATCGTACTAAAGATAGACAATAAATAAAATGCTATCGATATCAATCGATTTCAAGGAATCCGTGTTACAGACCAATATAGCGATGAGCAAGAAACTCGGGACGAAAAAGTCGAATCGAATACAGTCAACAAGCTTCTCCGATATAAGATCGGAGAATCTTTCTGACCGATTAACCTCCGCAACGACTCCCCTAACATAGTTTCGAGGGACACAATTTAAGGATGGAAACTGGTTGCTTCGCCAGCACTTAGGCAAGAAGCGAGAGACCCAGGATTTATCGTCGGCATTACGCGAGAATCTAGGAAAGAGAACGGAGAGGAGACAAGCTCGAAGCAGACGTAGGCGGAGCCCAGCTTTCGAGGTCTTCGAAACAAGGAAAATCCCTCTCTTCCCTTCGCTAACCTCTAACCAGGATACCAATGGAAATCGCAATTGTGCAGACAGCGTGATGCATGAGGGACACTTTCGACATTTTGTTTACGTTATACCGCGTCTTGGTACTGCATTCTCTGTGCTTCATTGAACCGTTGACACTTGAGAGGAGACGATCAATTTTATATCGATTTAGGGTTCTCAGACGTTCCAACTTAAGCGTGCAGAGTAAAATAATGCTATATAAGGTAATATTAAAACCTGTTTGGACCTATGAAATCCAACTATGGGGAAGAGCAAGTAATTTCAACATAGAAATTTTTCAACGATTCCAATCGAAAACTAAGATCCTTGATAGATGCACCTTGGTATGTTACCAACGAAACGATACATCGCGACCTCAAGATAGCCACAGTCAAAGAAGAAATATGCAAATTCAGTAACAGATATAACATAGGAGTTAACAACCACCAAAACCCGCTAGTTACTCGATTACTTGACACGTCGAATCAGATCCGCAGGCTAAAAAGACATTACCCTTTAGACTTAAGCACTACATTCAATAAGAACCAAACACACGATAAATAAACAGAAAAATTTACTTATAATTCTCAACGAGAATTGAGTGTAAAATTCCTCCAAATAAAAAAAGAGATTTAGGGTTCAATTTCCCATTGTAGAATCGTCATGATCAACTCTGTTTTTTTCTAGCAATACTTGATATTATCTTGATATTATCTTGATATTATCAGCAGAATACATAATGACTTCCCTGTAATCAAGTCATTGCCCTGCATGACGTTTATCGTGTCTTCTGTATGGCTCAATTGCTCTCATTGTATGATTCATTGGAATGGAACGCCTACCTGGAACGGAATCTTGTAATATTTTTCATAATCTTATATTCTTTTGAGAAAGAACAAAGGGAAGATAGAATTTTGTAAACAGAAAATAAAGAATATCATAGTATAATTATATAACACAGGTACATCACATAATTTTGTAATGTAAGTATAATACAATTCTATATGGAATGTGAATGTTCTTCCTCGATCGTTTCTATGTCTGTCGTTCTCGAAATTTTCCAAAAATATTCGATACGTATAATCCTAATTATAGTGACGATATAAATAAGAAATACGACTCAGGAAGAAGAAAATCGATTTCACAATGAAATAAATATAGTTGTGGATAATATTATAAAGGAAAGTAAATATATTTGTATTAACAACATATTAAAAATTCAATATCTCTAGCATCCTTCAGAAAATAAATGCGATATGAATGAAGAATTAAAAATATACAAATGAAAAGTAAAATACGTCATCACCTATTGCTTGCATAGCAAGTACGCTAAAAATAAATTCATCGCTGGTTCGCTAAATAATAAATAAGGGATTATAGATTAATCCCCAAAGCGTTAAAACAATTTGAATATTCACAAACTTCCTAATGAAAATATTCTCGCGAAAACAAGAAGTCACGTTTTAATTTTAATGCAGTTTGGTACTATTTTGTCGAAAAACGACACAGAAATAGACGACAACAACCCTTCTAATTGAACAAATCCATCACATACAACGAGTAAGAGAAAGTAAGAGCGCACGAGTTCTGCTT